GTTCTGAAGCAGATCCCCCGCCCTCCCCTCTCCTCTGCTGAGGCTGACCTGCTGCTCGCATCTTTTTTTATTTATTTTTTTTATTCCTTTGTCCGGAAACGTTTTGCTGCTCAACAAATAACTTTGAGCCTCAGTCAGGAAAAACTAGAGTTTTTATACTTTTGGCCCGAGAGGAGGAAACAAACGGTGGATTTATTTACGCACGCATTTAGTCCTCATGACGTTGCTTTCATCAGACCGTCTTTTAAATGTGTCACATACTTTTTATCATATCTTCAGATCTACTTGACCTAACAACACAATTTAAAAACTGTTTTAAAGTTCGAAGTCTCTAATTTTCACTCGTAAGTCGCAGAGGGTGGATCTTTACAGGTAGTTTTTTTCTTCTTAAACTTCATTTAGGTCTGCCAGCATTGACAACGCTCTGCGGGTGACGTAAACGGCTCCGCGACACGGCGAGGGAYGCATAAATMRCGCAACACAAYGAATCGATAATGAAATTCGTTGCCAACGCTTTTAATAATCRATTTTTATCARTTTTATCGATTCGTTGTTGCAGCCCTAGATTCAACAAACTCTTCTATCTTCAGGAAAAGTGTGTAAATGAGCTGCGTAAACATGATGAWTTCTACCTGTTCGTATCCAGCTGCTCATGCACAGGGAGAGGTGATTAGCATACTTACCACCCCAAAAACACCATATAAGGTAATGTTTCCTGCCCGACATACCAGGAAGTGTCCATTCATAAATGACATCGCAAAGTAAATAAGAAGATTTTTACAAGTTCAGAGATTGAAGTCCTGCTTTCAGAGATCCAGAAAAAWAAATCTGTMATTTTTAGCAGYGTCAGACCTGCTAAAGCCGAGGAATGAAATGATGACTGCTGTTARTGTCGYGTCTCYTGTGGGTCGTWTACAGACAGAAATAAAAATCTAAATCATATTCATCTCTCTYTAGTCCTGCTCCGGATTTTCTTTGGGCAAATATTTTTAATTTAAGTGTAAACAACTGTGTTACATAGTTTTCATTTATTCAGAAGAAGAGCAGTCGCACACCGCTATACCCCCACGGCCATCTTCCCCCTCCAGACCGTCGCAAATGTCAGATGCGGTTCTGAAAAAAAAAAGGCATTTTAAACTGTCTCCTAACTTCAATTAATGCATAATTTCAGTTGGTTTTTAGTTTGAGATGTTCATATTAATATTGTAGTGTTATACAACAGCATTAAAAGCCAATTTAATTTAATTTAACCAATTTATGTCATTAGTTACATTTAAAATCTAATTCTAGTTCAAACAGAATAGCCTATTGTCAACATAATTATGGAGTGTGCTTTATTTTCAACTCAAAATATCTTCAAACTAATGAAATATAAAGTTATTAGGGAGGAAAACCCGTCTGGATAACAGCAGACTGACTGCTGGTAAAATATACGACAGGTCTGGACCACTTGTGAATTTTGTTCGTATTTGAAAAAAATCTTACGAGAAAATTGGTGAATGCCATAAATTCTCCTAAATCACTCGTACGCACAATTTAAGAAAAAAATCTGTTCATACAAAAGATTCTTGCTTGAGGCCCATTGCTTATAAAAACTAAATATTCATGATTTAGTTTCAAAAATAAATGAAAAAGAATGAGTGGAAAGCACAACAAAGCTGGCAGATWTTTTCAGGTGTGTTGGAGCAGAAAAACAAGTAAAACAGGCAGGACTGAAGGCCTTTGAGGGTCAGGATCTGACACCACTGCTGTATGTACAATTACACATTTTATTGAGGTGGTGGTTACTCTATGGAAAACACTACTTTTTATTGCTACTGTACCGTTTCAGTGCATTTTTGTGTTTTATGCAGTTTATCAACTGCACAATAATCAGTTTGAAGTTCATTCATATCAGCTGCTCACTGTCACAGATAAAGTTATCAAATGGCCGTGAGTAACAAGGAAGGATTTGACCTTATATAGATGTTGGATCAGCTACACTAATTAAAAAAAACAAGCAAACAGATAAACAAACAAATTTCGTTGTTGTTTTTGTAATTACATTATTAAGATGACAGTTAATGTTCTTTATTTGTGCAAACTTTGTGTTTTAGGTGGTAATAATGGAAGTCCAGGGTCTGAAGTCCTTGGCTTCAAACAGAATAGTTTACTGCACAATGGAGGTCGARGGAGGCCATAAACTACAGACGGACCAAGCTGAAGCCTCCAAACCAATGTAAGTGTTTAACACAAGGAAGCTCCTGCCAGCACGCAGTGACATAAATACTCATATAGTAATCAATCAAGAGAAAGATATATGCCACACAATGTGTACATGTTCTTTTGAACACAGTTAAAGTTAGACCTCCTTCACACTGGAAGATGATGTTGCTTTAATGCCCTCCATGATCTACAAACAATATCAGAATGTGGCTGGATTGCAACAAATTTGGAAAGACGTCTTCATTGTGAAGGCATTTATTTAAAAAAAACATTTACTTAACCAGGCAAATTCCTCTGAGATCACAGTTCTTTTGCAAGGAAGGCCTGACTGAAGGCAGCCYAACATCCATGTTTTTTGTCTGTTTGAGGAAATCAGAGTACCCCGACAAAACCCAAGCAACCACAAGAAAAACATGCAAACTCCAAACAGAAAGACCCCTGGTCCAAACCAGGGATTAAACCCACCTTCTTGATGTGAGGCATCAGTGCTAACCACAAAGTCTTTATGCTGCCCATTGAGGACGTTGCTGCACTTTTAGTACTCAGCAAATAGATTTTCCTGCTCTTTTTATACATCCCTGAGACACGTTATGTTGCACTCCTGAACAGACAAGTTTTTCACTCTGCAACTTTTCTATTCTTGCTTTTTAAATTCTTTATACATAGCATTTTCTCCGTGCGAGTGCTACGAAAAACATTCCCCCTGCTTTTCTGGCTAACTTCCTGCTCTCTCCCATCAGCTCAGTTCTCACAGAACACATTCTTCACTGGCTCCACTGGGGTCGGCAAGGATGGRCRYGCSGGGGGTACCYGGTGCGTCAAAACTGGACGCAGACGGCCCCTGCCCAAGCGTCACTATGTTGACGAATCCGACATGACAATGTGCTCTCTGTTCGTACGCGCTCTGAAAGTCAGGCGCACACGTCAAGTCTTGCCACATGGTAATCTCATTGCGTAATGGAAAGTC